TAAATTGTCCACAAATTTCAACAAGTGTTAAACAATGATCTTCAACTTGTAAATTGTCCACAAATTTCAACAAGTGTTAAACAATGATCTTCAACTTGTAAATTGTCCACAAATTTCAACAAGTGTTAAACAATGATCTTCAACTTGTAAATTGTCCACAAATTTCAACAAGTGTTAAACAATGATCTTCAACTTGTAAATTGTCCACAAATTTCAACAAGTGTTAAACAATGATCTTCAACTTGTAAATTGTCCACAAATTTCAACAAGTGTTAAACAATGATCTTCAACTTGTAAATTGTCCACAAATTTCAACAAGTGTTAAACAATGATCTTCAACTTGTAAATTGTCCACAAATTTCAACAAGTGTTAAACAATGATCTTCAACTTGTAAATTGTCCACAAATTTCAACAAGTGTTAAACAATGATCTTCAACTTGTAAATTGTCCACAAATTTCAACAAGTGTTAAACAATGATCTTCAACTTGTAAATTGTCCACAAATTTCAACAAGTGTTAAACAATGATCTTCAACTTGTAAATTGTCCACAAATTTCAACAAGTGTTAAACAATGATCTTCAACTTGTAAATTGTCCACAAATTTCAACAAGTGTTAAACAATGATCTTCAACTTGTAAATTGTCCACAAATTTCAACAAGTGTTAAACAATGATCTTCAACTTGTAAATTGTCCACAAATTTCAACAAGTGTTAAACAATGATCTTCAACTTGTAAATTGTCCACAAATTTCAACAAGTGTTAAACAATGATCTTCAACTTGTAAATTGTCCACAAATTTCAACAAGTGTTAAACAATGATCTTCAACTTGTAAATTGTCCACAAATTTCAACAAATGATCTCGGTTTAACTTCAACTTGTAAATTGTCCACAAATTTCAACAAGTGTTAAACAATGACTTCGGTTTAACTTCAACTTATAAATTGTCCACAAATTTCAAAAAGTGTTAAACAATGATTTCGGTCTCTTGTTTGTTGGAATCTGGGATCTGCTCACTTTAGGCTGAGCTCTTCTCTTCACGGACCTAATCATCTAGGTCGAGATCTTGTCTTCTAGAATCTGGGATTTGCTCACTTTAGGTTGAGCTCTTTTCTTCTCGAACCTAATCATCTAGGCCGAGATTGTGTCTTCTAGGATTCTCCATGCCTGACCTCCCGCGAAGGCCGGTGAGAATGTCCCTTGGTCTCGCCATGCTGAGGGACTGCAGGAACCGTTTTCTGCCCCCCGCCTAGGCATCTTTCTTGGCTGCTGGAATCGGCGTATCTTGTAACGGGAACAGTGGCTGCATGACGTTATTCTGTATCATGAAATTGACAACCGTTTGCAGGTCTGCCAATTTGTTCGCCATTCCTTTCATCTCGTCGTCCCTTCGTAAGCATCTTTCTTTCCATACCTGGAGGTCGTCCTCGTTATAATATTCGCTTCGGTCTGATTTCTTCAGCACGTCGCCCTCCTGGCCAACGTCCTCTTCACCGTGATTCTTATCACGAGTTTCTTCGTTATAGTTGTCTTCTTCGATGCCAAGGTCAATATGTTTCCCACTTTCAGTAGGGGTGTCGTCCCCAACCTTCTCTTTCGGTCTGTCGTTGGCCATCGATTCTCTTTTCGTTCCCACAGACGGCGCCAAATTGTGTGGGTGATTTTCTGACCACACTGCAAAACAGGTACCTAGCTGCAAAGCACCGGAAGAATAGATTAAGCCCGAACGACCTGCAACCGAAAGAAGAGTTTCCGGCGGTGGCTCGTCCACCCGGGGGCACTCCGACGATCAAATCAATACTCAATATCTCTCAAAGATAACCAATAGTGCTTAACTCACTAGAAAGAATATCAAAAGCATAAAAGACATACCTTTGACCCATGAGGGTGCCTCTCTTTTATAGCCAATATAATCCTAGTCCCAATAGAAGCCTAGCTCCAATGGACTTAGGATTACTGCTAATCTTGGACTCTCAGTAGAATTATGATAAAACTCTCTAAGAGTCTCATCTTTACCCAAACTGAAGTCTTCTTCCATTCTAGGACTCTTGTGCCTTATCCGCTTATCTCGGATTTCGATATCTTCGGAGATAACCTCGGCCTTGCCGAGATCACCTCGGCGTCATGACCAGGACACGTGGCACCTCGGCTGACACGTCGGCGTCACCCTTCCCACGTGTTGGTACTTAGAAAATACATCCCCACATCTCCCAATATTGGGTCCTTCATGTCCTGTCCCATGCCACTCTTCCACAAGTCCCATGTCTGGAGAATATTAGACAGTAAAATATATCTCAATGTGAATACTTCAAAGATGGGGAAAAAAAAAGTGGAAAGGTAAAAAAAAAAAGGAAATTTTGTATTAATTTAAGCTAGTAGCTTGTTTACTTTTTAAATTTTGAATAGGTCTTGAAAATATTTCATTTCAATATCAAGTTTAATATATTTATATTACAATAATAGAACAATTCACAACTTGTCCCTAAGCTTTTTCCTTTGACACTAATGAAAAATATTATATTCAAGTTTACTTGGTTATTTATTTATTGATATTCAATTTTACCATTATTATATTCTCTTGTTAATTCTTACTTTCTATGTAGTTATAGGGGAGAAAATTAGTCTAGGGTCCCTCTCCCACTTTTCGTAATGGAAGAGATCTACAAAATTATTCTTTGATGTCTAAGGTCCCTAAACATATCACAGAAAAATTTGACCTTACCAAATCAAAACTCATCTCTCTCTCTCTCTCTAAACTTCTCTATTCTTAGACATGTCCAAATACACGCACACACAGAGGGCCGGAAGCGCGGCGGACCTGGAGAGCGACGAAGCGGGTGGCGGAATCGTTTACGGTTCGATAATTGGGAGGGAGCAGGTTGGTGATGAGAGCGTGAACCGTTTCGACGAGGTTGTCTCTGATCCAAGAGACTGTACAGATTTCTACGATGACAGCAGTTGTATCGGAGGTGAGAAGATTGTCGTCGACTTTGAAGACGAACTTGTCGTTCCAGGTTGGGTTCGCATTGCCGTTGCTATCGACTCGGGTTGTTTGTTTGTGGTCGGGGCTAAGCCATACGATGGCGTATGTTTTCATGGATTTGGCGACGGGTGAAAGGTCTTGGGCGGAGATGACGGTGATCTCTAATAGCTGGCATGGGGGTGGCTGACACTTTTTTGACTTTGATTTGGTGGTGGAGGTGGTGGGGTTGACGCTACTCATCGCCGTCCGGTGCCGGGGATGTGGAATCAGAGGCTGAGGCTGTTGTTGTTGTTGTTGTTGTGTGGAGCAGAAATTGGATTGATAAGGTGAAAAAGTTTTTAACATTTCTGTGGGGAGTGTTTTTAGGTGTGATTGCATGATTTTAGGGAAGTTCGTTACATGCATGCTTGTTTTGGACCACCACTTCTTTAGACATTACAACGGTTTCAACGTGCAAGTCCCGTTTGTTTGTATGAGTAAGTGAAATATGAATAGAAATGTTATTTTATATCTATTTTTTCTCCTTAATGATGTGTAGATGATATGAAAATTTAATTTAACTTTTGGTCTTCTATAACAATGCTCTTATGAATATGGTAGAACTAAGGCTCAGTAAGGAATTCGTAAAATTCGTAATCCGATCCAGTCCAATTCAATTCGATAGGTTTGGATTGGTTTTTTGAATTCGTGATTCAGTTCCGGATTGAAAATTTCAAAATCCGTAGGCCAGGGATCGGTTCCGGATTGAACCCCACGGTTCTGGATTGGAACCGATCCGGACCATCTAGAAATAATCTATATTTTATACTATATACCTTCCCACACCATATAATTTCTTATCTGATATAAAAGCTAAAATGTAACCTAACCTAATCCAGCAGCCTCACTCATTCACGCCTCTCACTCTCATCTCAGGTCTCTACATCGATGGTGTCTCTCTCTCTTCTCTTTCCCATCTCAGACTAAGTTCTCTCTCACACTCTCATCCATCTCAGATCAGATCGGTGTGCTGCTGCTCATCTCTCTCTGTTGGTGAGCTAGCTCTCTCTCTCTCTCTCGGTGTTCTCATCTCTCATCTCTCTCTCTCTCTCTCTCGGATCGGTGACTATTTTTGTTCCTTTGTTCCCAGATCATCCATCTCAGATTATTTTCTGTTTTTATTTTTATTTTTATTTTTTTTCTGATTTCAACTCTATTTTGTATTGTTTGTTTGATCAGTCTGATTGTATTTCATGTAGATATTTTCTCGATTTTTTCATCTTTTATTGATGAGGGGAAAAAGATTATAGAACAGGGGTTGTTATATGCTCTTGTTTTTCCATTTTTTCCATATTTTCTCGACATTGGAAGAAAGGAAAAAGTTATATGCTCTTGTTATGTTGGTTGCTGCTATTATTTTTGTTTGTAATCAATCTCAAGTAGGTTGAGGCATTAAGATTGGGCTTGGGTTCCAGGGGAGAGCCTCTACAAGAACACTTCTGACCTTCTTCATTAAGAGATGGGGTACATGTAGAGGTAGTGTTTGGGTGACCCTACCCTACATCTACCTTGATTGGTGGTTCATTGGTGATGATGGTAAGGCTAGTACTCTTTGATTGAGACTCACCTATGCCACTGTTTGGTTTGATGGAGGTTTTAGGTAAAGATGAGAGACACATCTACAAAGTGTGTTAATAAAATATATTTTTTGATTGGTTTAAAATTTTTGAATGTTTAAATTTTGGTGGGATCAATACAGTTTTTGAATATGAGATTCCTAATTTTGGACCAATTAGTTCGTGACAGATTTATTTTTGTTCATGGAAATGTAGTGTTGTAGTTTTTGAGAAGCAGCCAAAAAATTTCAAGCTGATTTGTGTTCTAACTATGAGAAATATATGGAAAAGAAACACATCTGCAGAAGAGTGGAAAAGAGAAAAGAATGAGAGAAAATAGAGATGTACAAATACTGTATTTGAAATTTTAGTGGACAACTCATGGAGTTCTTCCAAACTTCAATTTGTGATTGTATCTTCAATCTCATTTCAAGTCATGTTTACTTATATAATATTGTTTACAGATTTTCAGCAGCTATGTTGCTATTGGAATGGAAATGCTATTGGAATGGATGTTGTTTATTTATATTGTTTATAGGCTGTTATTGGAATGGATGTTGCTTAATTACATTATTTACAGGTTTTCAGCAGCTATGTTGCTATTGGAATGGAAATGTAATGTCTATATTTTTTTTGTTATTTAATTATTTAAATCCGTGGTCCTAAACCGATCCAATCCATGTTTCAACGGATTGGTTTGGATTGGTTTCACAATTTAAACGGATTTGATTGGTTTTAATTTTTTAAGAACTGTAGATAACGGATTAGTCCTGCTTTTCTCCCAATCCGGACTAATCCGGTCCATGCTCACCCCTAGGTAGAACTAGGTGAGATGACTAATAGTGTGTGATGCTAAGACAAAATAATTTTTTTAATTTCTAATCCCATGATATTAGATATCAATGCCATTTTTTTCTATGTGATTGGTAATCCCTCTTTGAATGGATTTTATATTCTCAAGACAATTGTTCAAATAATAATATTATGAACTTAGGCTTGTCAACTCAGAATTTATCTAGAATTATCATTTTGTGATTTAAATTTATTTTACATATGAATCTCATATTATATAAATTTATTTTCCAACATACAACCATTCATCCAAAAAAATATAAAATGATTAGTTTGGATTTCCAAACTTACTCTTATTCAAAATAAGCATAATTTTTTATGAACTCACCTCATTACTAATCCAATCACATCGTTCAACTCTGAAAACAAAGGGCTAAGGCTCCGTTTGTTTTGAGAGTTAGACGAGGGATTGAAATTAGTAGTGAGGTAAGATCCACTAGCATTGTGTTTGTTTTGAAAGATGAGGAGGGGATTGATAGTGAACTCTAGATTATGAATTCTCTTGGGAAGGGGATTCGGATGGGCCTCCAAAACTTGGTATTAGAAAATAGTCTGCCAGACTAGCAAATTTTAATTATTTTATTTTATTTTTTACATGTTGGGCTTTTTTTTTTAATTAATGTTTAATTTTTTATATTTTTTGTTAAGTAAAAATCATTATTTTATTTCTTTTATTTTTTTCTGGGATTTTTTTTAAAATTTTTTTTACATGTTGGCCATTTTTTTAAAAACATTAATGTTTAATTTTTTTGTATTTTTTTATTTGTTTTATTAGTTTATATAAAAATAATTTAATAATCCCTACACTAACAACTATCATCAAAACACACACAATTTTACTTAATCCCCTCATTATCAATCCCTTCACTAACAATTCTCATACTATTAATCCACTTACTATGAATCCTCTCCATTCTACATCTGAAAACAAACGGGACCTAAGAGCATCCTCATCAAGCTCTTCAAAATAATTTTTTAGCTAAAAACTTAAAAAAATCAATTTCATCAAACTTGCTTGCAGCTCGTCAAAATTTACGATGACTACAGTAACTCGTTACAACAAGCGAGACACTATTCATCGCTACTTGTGTGTTACTGAATGTTCCCCCAGAAGTCTGACCAGTCAACCGGTCAACAACAAATTTTTTTTTTTGGTTGCTTTTTTTAAGAATTATTTAGTTGGTAATTTATCAATTTAATAAAAAAAGAAAAACTAACAAACACAATAAGAAAATAATATTTAATAAGAATAAGTTAGAATAAAGAGTTTAATATAGTAGGTGTTAAAAGATGACTAATGAAAGGGTAATTTATATGCGAAATTGGGCCGAGCTGGGCCTTTATGGGCCTCAGTACGAAGGGCTGAGTAAAGAGGCCATAAAGTTACTCCGGTCTTGAAAAGGCTTAAAGTTAGCCCGATCTCACGCCCAGAAGGTAGACCGGTCCGAGTTACTCTTGATGTTAGTCCGGTTGAAGGACGCTTTGTAGTTAGACCGGTTTAAGGATGCGTTGAACTTATATCGGTTAAGGCACAGTATGGTTAGTTCGGTCTAAAAGCCTTGCTAGAAGTTAGATCGGTTTAAACTTAACACTGTTGACAATGGAGGAACTGGGGTAAGAACACTGAAGGTAGAACCGAACTAACGATAGTTCGATCTACTCTGTGGCTCGGCGTGATCATGATTACTTCGGTCATATTTGTAACGCCCCACTCCCGGGTCGTTAAATACACTAAAATAGCCTTAAAAAAAATTACAAGTTTTGCTCCCAAAAATAATAACTACAAAATTGTCTCCAAATGGTACAATATCCTCCAAAATAAACAATATTACAACTATCTCCATATTTAATAATTAAAGTGGTAGATCCCAAATCTCTGTATTAATAAATCTTTTTAATTCTCAATTTCGAGCTCTGCTAAAATCTGCTTCGCACCTGAAAAGTAAATTAATTCGGGAAGTATACAATACGACAGGAATACAAGGCTCGGATACAGAATAAATTAACAGAAACCCAACAATTTATGACACTAAATCAACGATACGATAATCAAGCAATTTACCAAATTGCACAACAAATCAACCATAATTTATCTAGACCAAACACCCAGTCCTACTCAGTGCATGACCAGTGAATAAATTCATTTATTCACCCACCTCACCCAAGCTCCACGCTTATCCGGGCATATTGGTGTAAACAATTAATAGGATTCACTCGATCCATGTATGGAGTATTTCCATGTCATTCAGTCAGACAAATCACCATTTAACGCAGAAATATTTGTAGAGAATTTTACCAAACGATCAGAATATCAACGATTCAACAACGAAAGATTTTACGAAATCTATTAATAACCACATTAATCAAGTGGATTACAAATTGAGGATGATTAAAAATATAGAACTCTTTGCAAAGAGATTTAAATAGAGCATATTGTATACAACCCGAATTTACCTCATAATAATTGACTTCGTCACCATAAATCTGAAATTACTCCATGGATCTCCAAAAATAACTCTGATTAAACTTCTAAAGCATAGGATATGTATATTTTGACAAAATCTACAATTCTCCTCCTTAATGAAATTATAAACACTCACTTTAAATACTCCCAATCAGAAAAAAAAAACAAATTGTGAAGGAGAGAGAGCAACGAAAGTATGGAAGAAGAAGAAAAAAGAGAAAGTTGAGAGAATGAAGGAGGGTTCTGCTCAATTTATAGTGAAAGGAACTTAGGGCTAAGGAAATAGAATAAAAAAAATTAAAATAAAAAGAAAAATAAAGGACAACTTTATGGGAAAGGAAAATGGATGGTTGAACATGGCAGTGGGCTTGCTACCCACGTTTCCATATATAAAAAAATTAAAAGCATGAAATGGTGAAAGGATGGAATGATAGAATGGTGGTTTTGCTCTAGGAAGTGAGGGAATTGTGGGTAAAGCCCACGGTTTTGTCTTTTTCTTTTTTTTTCTTTTTTTTTTTTATGTGATGAGGAATTGTGGGGAAAATTAATTTATTATTATATCTGAATAAATAACAATATGATAGATATAAAAGGGATGAGATAAATACAAATAATTAATTTAAAATTAGATTCTTATCTAAAAATCTCACCCTTAAATTATCATAATAAACCACCAATACTACTCACTAAATATTAATATTTCAAAAATACGGGGTGTCACAATCTATCTCCCTTAAAATAATTTCGTCCTCGAAATTCTAATCCGTAATGCTCCAAAATTTAATCTCAACTAAAACTCCAAATAATACGGTTTCGCTACACACTCTGTGTAATGACCCCAAAACATGTGTCATATTTATCAGTAATTAATTATGTGTTTATGCGAATTAATTGAAGAATATCTGTTGAGATGAGAACTTTGGGACTGAAATTGATGACCGTAATGGGTTCAGAAAACGAAATTGAGCACGCCTGTGTGATACCGGGAATTTTTAGAACCATTTGGGAAAATAAATTGAGGATTGAATTTCGTCTGATTCGTTAAGCCTTGTTTGGCTCAAGATTATGGCACAATTCTATTTTTATGACATATATGTACATATAGATAAGGATGTTGACCATGTTTTGACTCAAAACAAAAGAAAGAAAATATCTAAGAGAGAGAGAGAGAGAGAGTGAATTCGTGGGAGAGAGAAACCAAGGAGAAGAAGATAGAAGAAAAGGGGAAATCAAGCTTAAATCTTCCTCAATTAAAGAATCAAGGTAAGGATCTTCTCTAAATTCTTGAAGTAAGGTTGATGCATCAATGATCTCATGTTAAATAAGAGGATTGGAAGGGGAAATATGTTTAATTTGAGCATGCATGGCTTGAATAGATGATTTATGGTTATATTTGTCATATTTTGAGGAAGAACCTCCATGGATTCAAGAATGAAGCTTTTATGCTCAAGTTTATGATTTTCTATTTTACTCCAAGATTTGAACTTCTATTGTTCCATATGGGTTTTGGTTTGAAGTTTTGATGTTGATTTAAGATGGGTTTTAAGTGTTTTGGGTCTTGGATTTCATAAATATGGAAAGTGATTTTGTAAAGAGGAGAATGAAGCTTGGAAGAAGAACCAGAAATTCGGATTTTGCTCTGTACGCTCGAGCGGAGGGAAGCCCGCTCGAGCGGTGAAAACAGCCTCCCAGCAGTTTTGGGACTTTTTACAGTACGCTCGAGCGGCCAAAGTGGCGCTCGAGCGGGAAGGCCTTTTTCAAGAAAATTTTGGGGAAGTTGCAGACTTGATTTTAACATGTTAATTGCATCATTTATCATCTTATGAACATGAAATGAGTATGAATCAAAGTAAAGAAAGATTAGAATGAACATGAAATGAAGTAAAGGAAAGAATGAAGAGCATGAATTACAGGATTTAATGACAATGTGTATTGAGAAATGTGTGATATGTTGATATTTGCAGGTCAAGATTTGAAGACAGAGCAACTGTTTCTGGAAGCCACTGTGAGTAACTTTATTGTAAAGATATATTCATATGAATTATATTTGAAATGTTATTGAATAAGTTATGATTTCTAAAATGATATTTTGTTTACGTAAACGAATGTCCTATTTTGATCTATTATGGCATCCAAAGAAAGTCCCAAGTCATGGGGGATAGCATGTTAATGTGGCTTCATGACATATATGTGATTACGAGATCTCGCTAGCCACTTAACCAAGTGGTGTTATGTTTGATAATCGGTGTTTAGGACCAATTACTCTAGTCGGAAGACGATATGCTATGTTCTGTTGGATGTACCATTATTATGTTCAGATATGAGACTGATTTGTTATGATCTATTTTATGTAGATGACATGTTCGAAATTCATTCACTAACCTCTTTACT